TTGCTGAGTCTATCTAGATAACTTTAGACATCCAGCGGACTATATATTCTGTCAATTATCCTGTCTCCTGCAGAATCTGATACTCATTTACACCCAAAATCAATGCATGAAGATGTTGTTAGTATTTGAAGCAGCTTATAACATTATTTTTGTGCTATTTGGATTAAATGTATTAGTCACACAATTAGATATGTACAACAAACTAGTGTAGAACATAGTTTGAAGTAAATGCCCATGAGGAATTTTAATTTCTAGAGTACTATTTGTAATTTACATCTACTCAACATGTTAAATAAAATTCTGAAGCTGAAGTGCAAATAGAATTTAAATGCAATTAACACATACAATAGAAAGATCAAATGGAAGTAGTTATTTCCTTTGAGCAATTTATTTGTAATGTCTGTGTTAATTTGCTGAATTTACACCACAGTCTAAGTTCAACTTTATATCCGCCCAATGCTTCTGCTGTTACCTTTGTGTTAGGGCTGGCTTGTCACTAAGCATGGTTTGGGATGCTGTGAAAAAGCAGTACACTTTTAGTTTATTTTACTAAGTGATTTGTTTATATTAACTAAATTATACTAATTAACTATTATTATTGTGTTTTTATTGCCGGCAACAGGAAAAAATGCTTGTGGAATTTTCTGCCTTATGTGCCTAAATAACTTGACCGAATTTAAGCAGGAGTGGCTCATGGACCAAGATTTTAATTGTATTTTAATTGTTTTATCTTTTAATTGTATTTTAATTGTTGTAAGCCGCCCAGAGATCTTTGGGTAGAGTAGGGGGGCATATAAGTTAAATAAATAAATAAATAAAAATAAGATGGGAAGAGGTTCCTCATCCTGAAATTTCAGGTGGGGGCTCCTCCCAAGTTACAAATTGATCTCATATTTAAGTACTACATGCTTTGATGTCTGTGAAAAGAGAACACCACTTGTTGTTCCAACTCAGGGAGCAAAATGTCTCTGGCTTACCCTGAATTGTGGTATTACAGAACTGAACGCAGAAGTAATGAAAAGGAGTCATATTTTCTTGACGAGGAATGAAATATCATACATTTTAGTTTCAATAAAATGGAAAAAAATCATTTCTTTTTTTCCTTTTTCAAAGAAAGACTCTGGTAAACAAATGTGAGCAGCTCAACATTATCTTTCCAAGCACAGAAGTGCACGTTAATTTAGGGTCAATCTGTACATTATGGATAGGATGACATTAGAAGAGGATGAATTTAAAGATATCTGCTTGCCACAGTGTGACTTTTCTACATCTCCTACAGTTCATAAATCAGGATGGTTTGTTTTCTGGTAGGTTTTCAGAAGATAAACTGGACTTCTTTGCAAGTACGATGGCTCAGCCCTGAAGTTTTGTCAGAATCACAGCCCTGGAACACTAACGTGACTTCAGCTTTTAATGATATGCTTCCCATAACACATAGCTTGACTCTTTGCTACTTTATTTTGGCTTTGATTGCAACCCCCTCATCCCTCAACTGCTAGCATAGGATTCAAGGATATAAGTTAAGGGAATATAAATTAAGGGGAGGTGGGCTTAGATCCTTTATGTCCTGCCATTGTCTCTTATTGGGGTGGTGGGAGGCTGCAAATGGAATTGTCCAGATGGTCCAGTTTAATTTTGGGGGGGGGCGTACAGTACGGGAGGGCCCCATATATGGACTGGAATTGTGGAAGAAGCCAAGGTTTAAAAACCCACACATTCCTACATTAGAGTCCTTGTCCAGATCAGAGGTCTCACTTGGGCAATTTGTGTGTGTGTGTGTGTGTGTGTAACATGTTAATTTAGGGTCAATCTATACATCGACAAGTGATGAAATATGTCATTTAAATGTAATTTTGCCTGCAGGCCTCATTTCATCGAGAGGTAGGCTTTTTTAGAAACTAGAAGTGACCAGCCGGCAAATGTATTTTTATGACTGCACTGTTCATTTGTATTTTATTATTTTCATTTTCTGTTTTGTCAAGTTGTACTTTAATTATGTTGTTTGTGTATGTTGTAAAGAACCCAGAGTGGCCTTTGGCCAGATGGGCAGTATAATCAATCAATCAATCAATCAATCAATCAATCAATCAATCAATCAATCAATCAATCAATCAATCAATCAATCAATCAATCAATCAATCAATCAATCATTTCCTACATATACTCCTCCCGCATGTATTCACATACTGACCCTGAGAGACAGCTTAGGCTGAGAGAAAACTGGTGGATAGGGATCACTCAGATTCATAGTCTACATAGACTTATCCTCCTCCCGCATGTATTCACATATTGACCCTGCGAGACAGCTTAGGCTGAGAGAAAATTGGTGGATAGGGATCACTCAGATTCATAGTGGAGTAGAACACCCCAATGCCAGTCCAAGATATACTCTAACCACTAAGCTACACTGGCTCTTAGAGAAGCTGTAATGTTTTCAAGTTGTTTACTGTGTTCATCAACCTGACCAAAGGAGCATTTCTCAGTTACCATTGATATGGAGACTTTCTATAAAACTGTACCATGCAGAGTGCCAGAATTAGACAGGTAAGGTAAAATGTTAAATGGCATTGAGGCAGAGTTTCACTGGCTTGATCTTCTGCCACTACTTAAGCACAGTTTCATCTTTGGTTGGGAAGGTCTGGGATTACACTTCACCAACTTTGATGTTCAGGGCAGCTCAGAGCCTTACTGTTCCAAGACTGGGTAACTGTAAAGTGTACTATGTAGTATGAAGCACACTGGCAGGAACCTTGTTAATACAAAAGTGCCTCAGTGTTCTGCCACAGGAACAAGGACTTATGCAACACCATTGCGCAACTGGTCAAGAGGTTCCCATTTCAACTGACTGCACAATGCACCAACTGAAGTGCTCCATGGATAGCCTTTCTGCTTTGATGCAATTGTAAAATCGACAAGTGATGAAATATGTCATTTAAATGTAATTTTGCCTGCAGGCCTCATTTCATCGAGAGGTAGGCTTTTTTAGAAACTAGAAGTGACCAGCCGGCAAATGTATTTTTATGACTGCACTGTTCATTTGTATTTTATTATTTTCATTTTCTGTTTTGTCAAGTTGTACTTTAATTATGTTGTTTGTGTATGTTGTAAAGAACCCAGAGTGGCCTTTGGCCAGATGGGCAGTATAATCAATCAATCAATCAATCAATCAATCAATCAATCAATCAATCAATCAATCAATCAATCAATCAATCAATCAATCAATCAAATTTTTCCTACATATACTCCTCCCGCATGTATTCACATACTGACCCTGAGAGACAGCTTAGGCTGAGAGAAAACTGGTGGATAGGGATCACTCAGATTCATAGTGGAGTGGAACACCCCAATGCCAGTCCAAGATATACTCTAACCACTAAGCTACACTGGCTCTTAGAGAAGCTGTAATGTTTTCAAGTTGTTTACTGTGTTCATCAACCTGACCAAAGGAGCATTTCTCAGTTACCATTGATATGGAGACTTTCTATAAAACTGTACCATTCTGCGAGATAACAGTGCACAAAAGTTAAAAACCCCATACAGCGGCTTTTCTAGGAGTATGAGATGTCTTTCAATATGAGATTTGCTTCACAGTGGTTGCTTATCAGTGTTTTGGATATCCCCTGCTAAATATAATCTATAATGTAATTGACTCATGGCCCCTTAATCCTGAAATGCTAGTGAAAAGAGAAACCAATACAGTCCAGATAAAGAAATGTGAAGCTAGGAAAAGGAAGCTAGGTTGAGGTGGCAGGCAAAGAAGCAAATATATAAAAACTTATTTAAGAAAAAGAAGTAGTGCAGGAAGGTGTAGACAGCTGAATTTCACATATTTTCAAGGTTACCAGAAAACTTTAAAGGTTAAGCTCTCCACACCAACATGCTTTACAACCATGTTTAATCTAGTATTCAGATTATTAACTGCAAAATGCTAACTGCATTTTGGCTGAAGAAACATGAATTTTTTTTATTCTCTGGAGGCATCTTTAAGATAAGCAGTCATGTATCTGTGAAGTTTCTCAGTCCTCCAGGTGAGGTTGTCTGGAAGCTGAGTCATGGCAACTGGACTTCTTTCTTGTTAGGTTGAAATGTTTCCCTACTCATCCAAGTAGCTTCTTCAGTCATGGGGTGTTAATGGTAGTTAACAGTGGTCTTTCTGGTGTGTGTGATCCTAATCTTTCTGGGGACGGATGAAAGGGCAGCATGATAAATAGGAGACAGATTGTATCTAAGGCATCCACCACTGCTGAGTGAGGGATTTTCTATATACACATGTATGGTCTCCTTGACCCATGACAATGGGCAGAGAGGGACTGCAGAAGTGAGAATTTTCCCTCACCCCCAGTCCTTTGTCCATCTAACGGGCCTATTCAGACTGGGGGGGGGGGTGAAACCAATGTGGAGGATATATCAGGGGTCTCCTACCAACTCTCCTCAGACTGGAGAAGCTACTTGAATATGTAGCGAAATGTTTCAACCTAAGAAGAAAGACATCTAGTTGCCATGACTCAATTTCCAGACAGCTGTCAAACCTACAGTTCAATGCATTCCAATGGGGGAAAAATTCACCAAAAATTAACGAAGAGTCAGAACAAAGCCAAATTAAGTTTGCAAAGGTTTTACAAGGTGCACTAATGATTCCAAGCATTTCAAACAGTTTTTGAACATTTTAAGACACTTTAAAAATAGTGAAAACGGACCTGTCAAAACCATTGAAATGCACTGAAACCTATTCAATGCATTCCAATGGAGGAACTGCATTTCGCTTAGCGATGTTTCCTATGGCGATTTTCGCTTAAGGATGGTAATCCGTTCCCATTGGAATGGATTATCCGGTTTTCAATGCATTCCTATGGGAAATGGTGTTTCGCTTAGCGATGTTTTCCCATAGCGATGTTTTTTTTGAACCAATTAACATCATTAAGTGAGGCACCACTGTATTAAGAAAACAAAGATCGACATAACAAACCATTGGCAGACAAATCATGAACATAGCTACATACCTGAGGCCATACAATACTGTGCCATCTGGGTGAAGGCGAATCATCCGGTTCTTAACCGTGACACCATGCACAAACGACTTCTTGTCATTTAGAAAGTAAGTATCAGGCACCCACAGTTGATCTGCTACTCTGTTATCAAGCGTAAGGTTGAGAGGAATCCCAGCATAGGCTAATCTTTTATCCCTCCAGTATTGTTGAAAATACATAGTTAATGTGTAGTCCTGGTGGAGAGAAAGAGGAGAAACCCAAGTTAAATCCTGTTTACAAACTGCATTCTTGGAATCAGCTTTAACATTTCTTGGGCTATTACAGCGTATTTGAAACCTAGTTTGAGAAACCTGTGTTCAACGTTGGAATGCTGTTTCATATCTCAATGCTGTTTTATGTAAGGGTGTCAATAGATCCAAATAAAATAGTACAGGATACTTCTATGTTTATCCAGATATACCCTGGTCCCCCCATTCTTTTCTTTTTCAAAGATTCGCTGCGAAATGTTACCTGCTTTTATTAAGACACTCTCTTGATGTAATATTTGCCTCCCTAAAAACACTTCTGGAATGATTCCTGCAGAAGAATACATTGGAAAGAGATATACTGGAGCCAATCCACCATCTGGTTTTCTGGATGCCCAAACCACGCAGCAGAGGACGGCCAAACACTTTATATGACTAATTCCTTCTGCTAGGAACTCACTGTTGCTACTCTTCAGAGGAATTGGGTTTCAGTTATCTGTGGAGAATTTCTCTCACCAAAAGGACCATAGACCCCTTTTGTTTTCTGCATTTTTTTGCTGTAAAGGGTGGGAACAAATACATTCTGTAATGTACTAGCAATTGTTTAATTAAGACTTGAGTTTTAATTGAAAAAAAATCAGGAAGTATTTTCATTGGCCTTATGGGAGGGGGAAAAAAAAAGCTAAATTACTAAAGCCCATAAGTATACATAAGTGGCACCAGAAAAAAAACATTATGGTACAATACCAGTAGTTTGATTAAACTAGAAGCAGTGTATATGTCCCATGTGACTGGAATAAAGAATAATAAGGAGGTGCATCACAGCTCTCTTGTCATCGTCTCTGAGCTCTATTACATTGTCATTGTGAGAAACATCTCTTTTGCCTCAGAGAGAAGAGAGCTTCCTGCCCAGCAACAGAAGACCGAATTGGCTGTTTTGATGCAGGATTCCAATCAATAGCCCTCTATACTAGTAATTGGCATGGATAAGCATATAAAAGAGAGGTACATTTTGTTTGTATATTTAAAATATTGTTACCCCACCATTCTCCTTAGAAACGTCCCATCGGCTTACATGGGCAATATTTAAAAGCTACAAACAGTAAGTATGCTAAATTTTTAAAAGACTCAAGCAAGTACTACGTTAAAAATGATAAAATCAATATCAAAACTACATTCAAAAGCAACAAGGCAGAACAATCCATTAAAAAACACTGCTCAAGCACTAAGGGAAAGTCTGCCTGAAGAGAAAGGTCTTTGTCTCCCTGCAGAAGGGCAGCAAAGATGGGACCAGCCGGGTCTCTTGTGGGAGAGAGTTCCTGAGTCTGGGAGAAGTGACAAGGCTCTCTCCTGTGTCTCCACCAAATGACCTGTGAAGGTGGTGAGACCAAGAGAAAGGACCCTCTTGAGGATCAACACATGGGAAGGTTCATAAAAGAGATGAGGTCCTTGAGTAGAATTCTGAAGCCTTTCTTTTATTCATTTTTTAAAATGTTATGTAGATAAAAATATGTGGCTGGAAGATAATCAAATTACCAGTCCAGGAATACACACACACACACACACACACACACACAGAGAGAGAGAGAGAGAGAGACAGAGAGAGACAGAGAGAGACAGAGAGAGACAGAGAGATTGGAGAATTAGAAAACAGGAATGAAAATACTACCAAATGATAAGGCATTTCTAATTTGGGGTAAAGTGGTGGGATACGATATGCTTGAATAAACTGGCCATCCTTTGGGGAAAATCAATGGTTTCCCAGAATTACTTTTGATTGTGCATTCAATTTAATACTCAACAGTGGAAAAAGTAATAATTCATTTAAACTTGATATGGAAATACTCAGGGTTCACAGGACTTACAATTTCTGAAAATACACCTCTTCATTGTATATTTATTACTTACCTGTTTATAAAGCTACACTACTGTCATGATTGTCAATGAAGAGACTCTTATTCTTTCCAGTAATGGACATCTCACTTTACTTGGCCATTTATCTGTCTGTTTATCATTATTTATGCATTTCTACTCTTCACTGAAAGAAGATTCAAGATGGTTAACTATGTAATGAAAAAACTTGATGCAGTTTGACGGCAACTCACTTCTCCAAATAAAGAGATATATCATAATGTTACTTAACAGTGTAAACACTGTAGAACATTAAAGCATCCAAACATGAGAAATCAACATCAAGTTTGAAAATCATGTTTCGGCCGTGTTTATAAGTTTTGCTACTGAAGCTTGGAAAAGTTGCCTTTTTGGATACGAGCTCTCAGAAGAGACAGCATATAACTTTCCTATTTTTGCCTTCCACCTGTTGAGATTTGTGGAGGACATCTTGTTCTCTCCTCCAATTCCCAACCAGCACTATTAGTAGTCACTGACTGCAGGTGGAAGTCCAGAGATCAACCGTGCTGATGCACAGCATTTTTATTCGAATAATCCATCCCACAAATGGTTCAGCTTCCAATGAGTTTCCACGAAGTCCTCTCCTTTTCAGTTCACCACTCTGGTGCCCTCACTGACCATGACCCCCCCACACACACACATACCATGTGGTGCCTGCCTAGTTGCCCCTTTCTATCCGGGAAAATAATTAAAATTCAAATGCCATGCAACTGCAGCCACACAGATAGCCAGGGCAGCCCTTGTTTTTATGGTGTCTGCCAGCTAGCAGAAGCTGCCTCCTCATGTTTTGCCTGCCAGCCAGAGAAGAAAAATGAAGCCAAGTCCCTCAACAAAGCCAAGCACAAGTACGTCCCGAGTAAAAAAGAAATAAAAAGCAGTCCAGGGCAGCACAGGTAGAGTAAAAAAGAACAACACTGGTGCTCAGCCAAAGTATAAAATAAGTAAATGGCGGGGGAAAGTTTTTTTTAGTCTCAGGCCCTGCCAGACCTCTCAGCACCTCTGACGCCCAATGCAGTAATATATGTGATCATGACACAAATGCAATATCATACAAGTGAGAGGAAGTACAGTAATTTCAAATTAATCAAGGAACCAGGTAACTAAGGGGGAAGAGGAAAAGAAGATGCTTATTAACCCAACAAAGCAACCATGGAAGGAAGGGACAGCAGGTGGCCGCAAAACAACCATAACCTGCTAGGGAGGGACATCTTCCTGCATGGCTAAAGATCTTTTCTGAGGTTATGTTTGCTTATGTAATGATATGTCTTACACATGTAAGTACAATACATGAAACAAGCTTTGTTATTATCTGCACCAAGATAATCAGGAACATTTCTTTTCATACATGTCCTGTGGGTTATTTCTCGCTCTCTTTCATTTATAGCCACTTTTTACTGCCCTGAGACTTTGTAAGGCTGTGTTTTTCTCTCTTTCATTTATAGCCACTTTTTACTAACATTTCTGCCCTGAGACTTTGTAAGGCTGTGTTTTGCTAGATGCAGCCAACAGATTCCACCAAGATTTGCTCTATGTACAATGGGCAGAGACATACAAGTTCTAGGGTTAAAAATTGTCTTTTAAGCACAGAGACCCAGAGAGAAAAATGATAGAAGCTCACGGACCTTTATGAATAGTGACATGCTCATGCCAAATCAGTTATTTCTCGGTTCTGTGCTTGTTTTAGTTCAAAGACTGGAAGAACAGATTTGATCTGTTTGGCCCACTTCACATATTAGGTTTTGCTAGTGTTGAAAACCTAACTCTGTTTTCTCCAGATGTGCTGCTGGGCCTGCCAGGATTTTTTTTTAAAAAAAAAATAGGTCATCACTTTAGTGCGTTGAAAACTACCTCCTTAGAGCCCGTGTCTTCCCTTTGGTGTACTGACAACTACTTGGTTAAGTATAAGCATGAGGAGAAAGGTTGCCATATCAACCAGTTAGTGATACTGCATGCAAGAGAAGGTTGGTTGGCATAGCAACCAAAAGCACAATATCTTTGTTCTGGCACCTGATTAAAAAGTGGCCATAATAAAATGAGACCATAGCCTTCAACACACATGAAGAACAGAGACAAGATGATACCGATAAGATAGCTTTCACTGTGCCAAATTCTCCACTTGTAAGAATGCACTTACAAAACACATTCTGAAATCCTGACCTTTTGGGTATAATTAATAATTTAACTAATTTGAAAATTCTGCATCTTTTCAACTAGCTGATTACCAAAATATAGATTCTGGAATTTGACTTATTGGGAAGTGTCAGTGAATAAAAAAATTTATCCACATGGTCAATTTTATCACCTTAGTCTAAAGAATATTCCCAGGGTGAGGTTACATGTAAGAAGTTTTAGAAGGTAAAACAGCTCTTGTGGATTCAAAAATTAACCTCCATCAGTTCCAATGCAGAACTTCTTTAAGGGCAATTATCTGCATTTGTCTACAACAAGCCACAAACAACACAGTCAGTTAATATATACATTCTCAAGAAATTATTTACGATGGTGGGAAAGTTGTATTCCACCTTCATCAGCTAATTGCAGGCAATTCCCAGCTCCCCACTTAATTTACTAATCTTTGTCCCTCAGCTTGCTTTATCACTTAGAAACTATTCATTGGAAATAAAGTAGCTATGCTAAACATGAAGGGTACGCACAAGTTTTTAAAAGTGTGTATATCTAAATGAGGTTCAACCCTTTTGCAGCTTTGGGCGCATGTAGATAAAAATAACCATACCACACAATCCCCCACATATCTACTTAGCAGTACATTACCTGAGATCAGTGATATTTATTACCATTTAAGTGCGTATAGGATTACAGCCAAAGTGCATCAAAGATGTGCAGCACACATTTTTTGTCATGCACCTGTTTTAGTTAGATTTTTAATTCCTGGCACAAAGTAATCTACAACGAGCATCTACAATGATTGGGTGGGGACTTGATCTCAAGGCTCCTAAGGTAGTTTTATTCTGCAATCCTATACATGCCAGAAGTGATATCCAGTGAGTGGATAAGGGTAAGTTGTATAGCAACTGCAGCCCTGGTCTAAGTGGGTAAAGTTACTTGGCATCAACATT